CATGAGACTCTAATATTCAATTAACCACCAGAAAACCAGAAGTGGCGCTGTGGCTCAAGTGGTAGAGCTCTAGCCTTGAGCAGAAAGGCTCAAGGGACAGCACCCAGCCCCAGAGTTCAAGCCCCACAACCCACAAAAAATTGGAGGAACTGACACACACATTTTGTAAGATGTAGGTAAAAACAAACATTGCTACTAGAGCTACTTATGTAGTACAAAGAGAAGATTCAATAAGTGGTAGTCAAAACCCTTTAAATTATTATTATATAAGGTATCTAAAAAAAGTAATTCAAAGAATAAATGTGAATTGTATGAAAATACAAAGGTGGCTACCAATTACAACAGTGTCTTCTAAAACTTGCTTACAGATTTAAAATATTTTGTCCCATAAGAAAAAAGTACAAACTTACTTCACAGAAGCACATTATCCCAGGATAGAGATAACACTACATACAGTAGCAATCATTTCCAGATTGATTCAGTATTACTAAAATTTTACCCTAATCTATGCAAATCCATACAGCTATCACTAACCACGGGCAAATCAAGTAAGTCCTACTTCACCCTTGCTCTTTATATTATTTGGGATTAAGTATAGAACCTTCTCTACAGCTTGAGTCCAATGTCCCTATGTTAATTCACTCAGTTAAAATTTATTAAGCACCTATTGTGTAATGGACACAAAGAGTAAACAAAACAGATGTAAGGCCTAATGGACATAATGAAATTAATTTAATACCAATAGCTACTAGAAGAATCCAGGTGTAGTGGCTCATAAACTAGTTCTAACTCAATCCTACAAACTCAAGAGGCTGAAATCTAGAACACTGTAGTTTGAAGACAGCCTGGACAAGAATTTTGTGAGATTCCACTGCAACCAACAAATAATTGGACATGGTGATACATGCCTGTCATCCCATAGGAAGCATAAACAGAATGATCATGGTCCAAGACAGCTTGAGGAAAAAAAAAAAAAAAAAAAAGCAAGAACCTACTTAAAAATAATGAAAGAAAAAATGGTTGGAGGTATAGCTCAAATGGTAGTGTGTCTCAGCCTAACAAGTGTGAGTTCAAACATCAGTACTATCCCTCCCCCACAAAACTTACAGAAGCCACATAATAGGAGAGAGACCTCTGATGATCCAAAAGTCTGTTATTAGTTATTTATTGTCATCGCTAAAACATTAAGTATATTCTGGCTTCTATTATATCTGAGCAAATAGTAAAACAAGTTTCAACTCTGAACAAAATGGTTCCTATGGTGATAAAAATTCTGCAAAGCCAGACACAGTGGCTCCCACCTAAACCCTAGCAGCTCAGGAAGCTCAAAGCTGAATATCTCAAAGCTAGAGCAGGTTAAAAAAACAAAAACAAATAAAACTAGTCCATGAGACTCTTATCTCCAGTTAAGCAGCAAAAAGCTGGAAGTAGGGCTGTGCCTCAAGTGTTAAAGTGTCAGTCTTAAGGAAAAAGTCTAAGTGACAGTGGCCCAGACACTGAGTTAAAACTTCAGTACTCATACTAATAGCATAGAGAGACAAATATCTGTAATTAAGCAATCAAGAGTTATAAGGAATGAGTAAATTTACACTTTAATGGAAGAAAATATTAAAACTCAACATTTCCCAAAACAATTGGGGGGAATCCGCAATGAAGAAGGGTCTGGTCATTACCTTGATGTGCTGAAAGCAAATGACTAGGGCATACAAATTCATCTATAAGGTATTCCCTCAGTATTATGAAAAAATACATATTCACACAAAGACATTTGTTCCTGCTGTTAGAAGATTAGCTCTTGTTCTTTTAGAGGGGAGACAATCTCAATACATTACTCACACATTGAGGTTCAGCACAAACTGAGGTTATAAGTCTGGAAAAAAGACATGCTGTAATCATTACAAATTCTATTTCATGATGAACCCTTAAAGAAATCAGCACGAGGGCTGGGAAGGTGGCTCAGTGGTAGAGCGCTTGCCTTGCATGGATAAGGTCCTGGGTTCGATTCCTCAGCACCACATATGCAGAAGAAAAAAAAAAAGCAGGAAGTGGCGCTGTGGCTCAAGTGGTAGAGTGCTGGCCTTGAGGTGAAGAGCTGAGGGACAGTGCCCAGGCCCATAGTTCAGGCCCACGACTAGACAACCCCCCCCCCCAAAAAAAATCAGCACGAGAGGTATTTACCATGAATAACCTCTAGTTAAGATGTTAGTATAAGGATGGTAGATGGTAAACAGGAAAGAGCAAGGGAGAGCATGCACACACACACTTTCTACCAATCTCTTAACCCAAACAGTGTGTGTGTACATACGCACGTGCACACACACCCTTTAGCACACTCACATATTCCTGCTGGGTAAGTTAAATACAGGTGTCTCAGCATACAAGGTTTCACCTGAATCTGTGCAATGGGGTGAAAATGCAATAACAGCAATTCAAACAACAATGAAAAACTACAGTTATGTGACACACTGATATATTTCTGTTGACTGGAGTGAAAGGAATAAATCTGAAATGACAGAGCTAAGGAAAAATCATTAAGCAAACCAAACAATAATGTACTGATCTCTGGACCATCATGAAAGACTGGATCATGCTGGATTTTCATGGCCCAACCCAATGAAAGGCAAATAATAGTTCCATTTCCCAATGTTAAAAACAAGTCTACAAAAGCAGTATGCTTTATTTTAATTATGGTACACAGCCAGAACTGAATCAATGTAAATTGATTAAAATCAACGTGAATTTCTATAACTGGGATGGGAGCCATTAAAGCCAAAACACCTTAGCACTTGGCCGTCAACCTTATTTCTCCATATGCTAGATATTTCTCAAAAATTGTCATATTATGGACTCTCTGGGAAGGCCTAGGCAAAGAAGATGATTTTTCCCTCCATATCTTCCTTAAGCTGTGACTGGCTGCCCTAATCAGCTTTCGTGCACATAGGCACATGTGCTCCCTTGTGGTGACTCTTAATCACCATGTGCCACGCTGAACAGCTGCAGAGGTCTGAAGGGAATTGGCAGAAATGTGCAATGATGTGCTAGCCACCCCTCCTGAGGCAGCACTGCCCTGCCTGCTCCCAGATGCCACTGCGCATGGGTGTTCACTGTCGCAACTGACAGGCCCAGAAGACAGGCAAGTGGTTTCAGGTGGTGAGTCAGGAAAAGCAGTTGGCATCAGGAATGTTCCAGCCCAGCAGAGCTGAGCTACATCCAACTCCCTATGCGAGGATACAGTGTTCATCATTTATACAATGTCACTGTGGGGGACAAAACTCAGGCTCAGCACAAATAGTATCCAATCAACTCTGTTGCGTAGGAACCAGTACACAAGGTTTCTTCCCCTAATTGCCTAAGAATTGACACCATGTCTGACACTTGAGGTCAGTGCTTTTATCCTGTGATGAAGGATTGTACAGGGGCCTGGCACACAGTACTTGAGAGCAAAGCCTTGGGCTAACCTTCCAGGACCATACAGCAGCAGCTACAACAAGCTGTGATCTATGTTTTCAGGGATGAAACAGAATCAGGGTAGGAAAACAGTCCAAGAAATCATGCACACAACTGGATGCACACAGATCAAATGGAGGCTGCTATTCCATGCCATGTGACTCTGTGTGGAAGAATTCATATTTGTAAGGTTGTCTATATGCAATTGTTTATGAGGCAGTAAATGACTGATAAGATGTCAACTGGGTGAGATAGAGATGTTAGACATTACATCAGATAACTGGAGATCTTGAAATTGAAAGAGACTTACAGCCATCATTGGGCACTACACTTCATGAATGAATACAACATTCTGTCAAGTTTTATACAATGACAAATGAGCCTATTCTCTGAAGAAACCTGAGGAGATTTAATACTCATTTTAGGGAATCCAGTTTGGTTTTCCTTCCCGAAAATTAGAAATTTCATCTTATATCTAACTTCAAAATTTCTTGCTATAATTTATCATCCTACTGACTATGATATAATAAACCTGATTATTTTTATGTTTATGTTACACTATTTTGGCATTAGTTCAAAAGCTAGACCTTTATCAAATCTATCATAATCAATAGTTTAGGTAAGGAATACTAATATGGATTTAATGTTTTAAGACCAGACAAAAAGGTGATTGGCCTTAGCATTCTGAAGACACAATAAAAATTGATCCAAAAGAAGTCTCTCAGAGAATCTTAACTGAAGCAAAGAAAGACATGAATCACAGTCCCTCTCTGAACAGTTTCTCAACTATCATCAAAGGAACAATTTCATTTATGTTCTTTGTTCACTAAGGACAAAGATATTCCTGGGATTTGAAGAACGAGGATGTCAGGACAATTAAGAGGATGCTCAAAAACTCCCAACTGTAATATTCATAGACTATTAGGATTATTCTCTGCCTAAGAAAACTAGGATATGCCCCCTAGGGTACGCAAGCTATTGAACATAGTCAATATGCTACACAACAATCTACATATACCTTGTCTACTAATATCTAGAGGATAGGCTATGGAAAACCTTATAAGCCAGAGAAGTGGAGGTTGCATTCACTCATGCCTAGTTCTTCACAGGAAGCATATTCCTATTCCAGGAGACCCTGACTTCCTCTCCTGTAGTCAACCTGTCCCTCTGAAATAGGGGAAATATGAAATAGCAGTAACTTTCTCTTACTAGTAAAGCCCACAGCCTCAGATTTTTAATGGAGGTGGCTGGAGCAAACAAGAGAGTTGAGTGAATGGAGCTCAGGGCAATATGCAATTATTGAAACTGGAATCGAGCCTGGATCCTGCTGTGAGAACACCGGCAATCAAACTGTGGTCAGGGCCCCAATTTTAAACCTCTCTCAAGGGGTACCACTTACTGACACATAGACACGCCTCTCTTCCTATCAAAGTAATTCAACTTGACTTAGTGAGGGAATGTCATCTGCTGGGAAAGAGCCAGCTTAAAATAATTGCCTCCAAAGGATTAAATTAAGTCTAACCAATTGCAAATATGTTTTGGTTCTTGCATACCTTCTTCCCAATAAGCTTCTTTCGAAGAAATTCCCGGGCCTCAAACATGTAGGGAATGTCATAGAGAGGACGTAGTTTCTTGTTCTTATCCTAAAAGCCAAATAGGATAATGTGAATGAAAAAGCAAATGAATATAGGTACTAATGTAGTATAATAGAATACATGTGAAATAGGTTATTCCTTATATATTAAATAATTATTAGATAATAAATGGTTAATAAGTATTTAGTTGAAATGTTTTATCAGGGATAGAATTACTTATTTTACATAACAGACTGAAAAAGAAACAATGGAATAGTTGTAATGATCTCATCTGGACACAACATAACTGCTCCTCATAAGCAATCAATTTCAGAATCCTCTCTCACCTCCTTTCTCTCACTTCTATGTCATGAGCTCCTGTGCCCTCATTTGTAAAAATCAGTAGTCTAGGACAGTCCTAGCAGATGAGCAGAATAGTTCAATAGCTATGTGTATATGACCATATAAGATGATGCTAAGAGAAATGAAATCCCAAGATAGGAAACAAGAGGTACTTCTTTGTTGTGGTTGTTCTTAATGTTACATGTGATTTCTTTTTCTTTCTTTGTTTTCCCCCCTGTGGTTTATCCCCTGTTGTCACTATTTGATTTTGGTACCCTCGGTATTATATATACATTTATCTGAATTAGGGAAGGGGAACAACAAAATGGTGAGACAAAGGACAAAAGCGAATCAATGCAACAGCGATACAAGACAATATGCTGGAAATGAACTGCACAACTTGGGTAGGGGTTTGGGAGAGGGAAAATGGGAGAAAAATGAGGGAGAGGGTAACAAGTTCAACAAGAAATGTACTCACTATATTACATATGTAACCTCTCTGTACATCACCTTGACAATAAAAATAAATTTTAAAAAGGGAGAATTTTTAAATGAAAAATAAACTAGAATATAAAATAAATTCAATAAACCTTAGGAGACTATACACACACATATAAACCTATATACACATACAAATATATACAGTTCTATCACACTTAGAAATAATACACACAAAGCACATAAAGCATTCTGTGGGTGAATATATGTGTATCTATGCATACATGTGGAACTGAAAAAATCTTGGAGCTTAATATGGTTACAGATGAAATTTTACAGATATGAAACAGCAATACAGCAGTTTTGCACTTGATCTTAGTCAAAGGCAGAAGAGCAATATATACACATCAATTTTGATGAAGTGATAAATTGTTATATACTAGGGATTAAATGCTGTAAGAGCTCAAGGAAGTGGAAAAATGAAATAATCAAGAAATTTTGTATTCATAAAGGGGTACTTAATGTACATTTTCAGGACAGATACAAAAACAAGAAAATTAGAAGTTGAAAAAACTGAATAAGAAGAGATATAGAAAAAAAAAAAGTTTCTCTTCCTACTCTTACTCATCTCAGGACCTTGAGACTCGTCTTAGGGAAGATACTCCACTCCTCCCTGATGATGAGAGAGGCTCTTTATGAAAGTGACAAAAGCAGGAATAGATAGAAATTTAAGAGATATGAGGGGCTGAGAAGGTGGCTCAGTGGTAGCTTGACTCACATGCATGAGGCCCTGGGTTCCATTCCTCAACACCACATAAACAGAAAAGGCTGGAAGTGGCACTGTGGTTGAAGTGGTAGAGCGCTAGCCTAGAGCTGAAGAGCTGAGAACAGCACCCAGGCCCAGAGCTCAAGCCCTACTGACAGAAAGAGAGAGAGAGAGACAGAGACAGAGACAGAGACAGACAGAAAGAGAGAGACAGAAAGAGAGAGACAGAGAAAGAGAGAGAGAGAGAGACAGAGAGAGAGAGAAGTACCATCATAAGAAAGGTGTAAACAGGAACTGACAACAGGAAGGAAAGAGTATACATCCAATATTGAGTCCTGATGACAGGTCAAAGAAGGCTAGAGATACTTCTGGAGATATAGAGATATAGAGACTGAATTCACGGTAGAAGAAGTAAGTAAGAGGGTAGAGCTACATAGGTTGACATGATTATTTTAGTGACTCATACAGGCCTCCAAGGTCCAACACAAAAGACATCCTAACACTGTTGTTTAACTGCTCACAACTATATGCAGCAACTTCCTGGTAGTACATAAGCAGTAACTGCAGTTGGATTAAGTAGCCCCAAAAGAAACATGCAGAACAAAAGGCTGAGACAGCAGTACTAGATTTGAGCATCTCCAGGTCCAAGCTAATATCGGACAATTACAGAAAGTAGAAAAGCAAGGTGTTGCTTCTTCCTGATGTGTACACCAATGATTCTCCATCTACAGTTAGCTGCCTGATGTGCCTTTGCCATCTATTTTGCATCTGAGAAAACAAGATGCTCTCTCTAATCCACTCTGTACTCAATGAAGATATTCATAGCTTATTATGTCTCTTAAATAGCCAATTTCTCGAATGAAAAGCTTCATCATTTTAATATCTTCCTTCTAAACTCATCCCAATAGCAATACAGAAGATAACAGAATAAAAATAGATGTTTCCTCTCAGAAGCTAACTGAGCCTTGATGCATCAAACATATTATAAAACATTTCAATACATTGATATAGCCAAGACATTTCTCTTGTGAGAAGGTAAATGACTCTTTTAGTTACAAGGAAATGTAAGCTTCATGTACATCATTCCAGTGCTGTCTACTTCCACTGCAGAATACAAATTTTTTCTCTTAATTATCATTTTCCCAGGAAGTGAAGCCACCTCTTTTTCCCAAAAGGCATGTGAAAATCTACATAATAGTTCAAATACAAATAGGGAAGGTGGCCAAGGTCAAAGAAAGGTCTGAGAATGTCAGGATCATCATTATAAGCAGGATAAGATCCTAAATGAGAATTTTAGACAAATGAAATAGGAAATAACAAAAGTGGAGTGATGAGAGTTGCCTGGTCTGAAGGAATGCTGAGTAACACACAGGGCAGATACACATATCCTGGAAGCCAAGTAAAAAGTAGAAGACCACAAAGAGATCTATTAGGGAGCCAAATGGAACATACAAATCCCCGAAAGAGTTAGTGATTATACCCAGTGATACATCTATAATGCTCACAGAAGATGCTAGGTGCCAGTAATGAACAAGACTCCATTCTTTTTCAAGGTGCTAAAGATTAAAGGTAAAACCATGTGTGTGATAAGCAAACACTCTACCATTGAGATATACCCACAGCCAAACAGGATTTTTAATAAAAACAAAAATCAATTGTTATCAGAATCAGCCCTAAGGAGTAAAGATGTGTCAATATATTCATGTTCACTAAGCAACAGAGGAAAATCTATTTACAGAAAAGTAGCCAAATAATTTCATGGTGAAAACAACATTGTTAAAAATGAATTGAACAAAATAATGACATTTGCCATATGTAGGCTTTTGATTTGCCACAGAATCTCCAGTTCTATGTTTTTCCCTACATATTTTGAAAACCATATTTTGAAAGGCATATACTAACTAGAACTCCAAAACTAGAAATGAAAGACAAGAAATAGATTTCCAGCAAGCATTTAAATGAAGACCATGGGAAGATTTACACCTACTTATACATAAAAAGAAGGTTGTATAAATGAGAGTAGTGCCTTGAAGACATTCTGCAGAACTAGACCAAGTCAAAATACCCCCTACCCCCCACCCCGGCCAAAGGAAACAAATAGTATACCAACAAACAGCTCATTAAAAAAAAAGAAAAAAAAGAACAACTTTAGAGTCTGATTATACATCTCTGATGAAGGCAGGAAAGAACAACTAGCACAGGCAGAAAACAAGATACCACAAGTGAAAACAGAATGATCTTGTTACTATAACCCTTCAGAGCTAGAAGCTATTGACATCTGCAAACATCTTACAAGAGAGTATTAGAAGTCCCCAAGAAACCACAAAATAAAAGCAATTCCTCCAAATTACCAGGTATATAAAAGCCTTTGAAATCTCTAAGAGGCAATTGAGGTATGGAATGTATTCTGAGAAAACAGGACTTTAGATGAATCTTGTCTGCTAAAAAGATCTGCCTGCTTTAGGTTCTAATTTACATGGAAATATTTTTCAAAAATAAAAATAGAAGAGAATGCTAGGTGGGTGGGTAATATACAAACCAAGATGTGCTGTAATCATTGTTCCTCCTGAAAAATGACATTGCACGTAGACCCTGCAATGACTCACATCAGAGACAGAAGAGGTAACTTCAGTCATCTGTCCCTCTCCCTCTGAGCAAGACCCAACACCCACAATTTAGCATCTGAAGAAACATCTGGCATTTTTCCAGAAAGGTATATGTGGTGGGTTGCCAAAATGATGGACAAATCTGGTCATTGTTGATTTGAAGAACATAAAAGGGACTTCCAACCAAGTACTTGTCCTGAATACCTTTCAGGTCTAACTGAGATTATCTTTAAAACCTATAGCCACAAAACGTAATTACCTTGACAAAGAGCAGGATTTCTTAAGCAAGACAAAATAGACATATATTGTGCAAAGATGGAGAGGGGAAGAAGAGAGAGACAGAGAGAGCATGCAATAAGGTTTTTTAAGTTCTTCATGAAAAAGATATCATGAAAAAAGTGAAAGATCAAAGTAAAGACTGTTTTTAGGTGATAGAGTCATAGCAAGGTGCCAGTGGCTCATGCCTAATAAACCTAGTTACTTAGGAGGCTGAGACAGAAGGATCATGATTGGAAGTCAGGCTCAGCAGTCCATGAGATTCTTATCTCTAATTAACCACCCAAACCCCAAATGTGAAGATGTAGTCAAGGGGTAGAGCACTAACTTTTTTTTTTTTTTTTTTTTGGGGGGGGGGGGGAGTGGGAGAGGGTCCGGTTGTGGGGCCTGAACTCTGGGCCTGGATGCTGTCTCTCAGCTCTTCAGCTCAAGGCTAACGATCTACCACTTGAGCCACAGCCCCACTGCTGGCTTTTTTTCTTTTTGCTTATGTAGTGCTGAGGAATCGAACCCAGAGCCTCATGCATGCAAGGCAAGCGCTCTACCACTGAGCCACCTTCCCAGCCCAGCACTAATTTTGAACAAAAAAGCTCAGGAATAGCATCAAGGAACTGAGTTCAAGCTCCAGCACTGTCACATAC